AACCGACGTAGGGTCGGGGGACGGAAGGCCGAGCAGGCGAAGGGCGGACACCGGCAGGGACTGCTGCTGCGGCGGCACAACGGCGACACCTGGACCGCAAGCTGCTCCTCGGCTACCACCGGCACTCTCCACACCCGCACCCCCAGAGGGACCACCCTCAGGGCGACCGGGACGAGCACCCCCAGAGTCAGCGAACGGGGGCTGCGACTGCGGCGGCGGCGGCGGCGGCGGCGACGGCGACGGCTGCAGTGGCGGCAGGGACGGCGGAGGAGGGGACTGGGGAGGGGACACCTGGGGAGGGGCGGCCGGCGAGGACTGCACTGGAGGGCCACCAGGGTCAGAAGACTCCTCAACCGGGTCCACGGACGGAAGGGGGGTGACGTGGGAGACACCAGAGGGGGCGGGACGGGGAGGAGGAGGAGGAGGGGCAGGGACTACCGGGGAAGGGGTGACCAGGAACAGGGGGGGGGTAACCGGAGGACCACGGTGGGGGAAGCGGCGGTAGTAGGAGACGGACTCGTCAAAGGTGACGTCACGAGAGTGAAAGAAGCGGTGAGACGGCGGGTGGTAAAAGTGCCAGTCGGACGCGTCAAGGGGAAAACCGAGGAAGACGCAGGGAAGGGTGCGGGCAGTGAGCTTGTCCGTGCCGGAGGCACGGACGTGAGCAAGGCAGCCCCAGACGTGGAACGCAGACGCGTCACCAGGAGACCCAGTCCACAGACAGGTCGGCGAAACCTGCGGCTGATGAGGGTGCGGCCACAGGTTAAGCTGGTGAGAAGCGTAGCGCACAGCGAACGGCCACAGAAAATGGGGTGCACCGGCATGGACCATGGAGGTGCGAGCGACCTCCATGACCAAGCCGATGCGTCGCTCAGCGACCCCATTCTGCTGTGGGGAGTCCGGTAGGGTGAACGTCTGGGTGATGCCCTCCGCACGACAAAAGCGACCAAGGACACCTGAGGCAAACTCGCCACCACGGTCTGAGTGAAGACGCAAGACAGGGAGACCGCGGTGGACACGCGCAGAGACAAGCCAGGGGATGAGGGCGCCAGGCACGTCGGCCTTGCGCTCCAGGGGAAAGACTGTGGTGTAACGAGTGAAGTCGTCGACAAGCACAAGGAAGTAGCGCTCGCGACGCGGCCCAGGGACGGGGGCGGGGCCCCAGACGTCCAGGTGAAGGGTCTGCAGCGGCGCGGCGGTAGGGGGGAACGAGGAGGAGTGAGGGGCACGGCGAAGCCGACCCTCGACACAAGGCGTGCAAGGTGGAGCTGGGGAGGAGGGAAACGCGGGGAGTGAACCTGGGAGACCAAGGACAAGACCGTGCTGGGACATGTGACGCAGACGCGGGAGCGCAGGGTGACCTAGGCGGTGGTGCCACAGGAGGGTCGGGTGAGTGAGGGAGCGACAGGAGCAGGCAGCAGCAACCTGGGTAGACACAGCCACCTGAGGGGGCGCTCCAGCCGGGGGGGGCACGGTGTCCAGAGTGAACAGGCCGGACACCGGGTCCCGGGGGAACGTGGACAGGGGGGCACTAGTGGCGGCCTCGGTACAGACAGCATACCGCTCGTGACCAGGGAACGTAGTGGTGACGCCAAGGTCCTGGAGGCAGCCGACACCAACTAGGTTCCTGGAGAACGAGGGGATATGCAGACCTGTAAGAGAGCCCGAAGGAACCGCCGGACAGGGAAGGGTGGTGGAACTGCGGGCGACTACCGGACCGCCGGAGGGGTCAGCAAGAGAAACGGCAGCAGGAACAGGAAGCGGCGTCAGGGTGGTGGAGTCGCGAAAGAAACACCGAGAGGCGCCAGAGTCCAAGGTGAAAGAAAGCGAAGCCGAGGGGTCTGGCGACGGAACGACGGCAGAAGCACCAAGACTACACAAAGCAGGGGATCCTACGCCTGACGCAGCAGGGGAGGCTAAGCTAGGCACACCTACACTAGGCAACAGTGAGTAATAAGTCGGAAGCACACTAGAGTCATCAGCATACATCACATGCAGAGCAGAAACAATGGCATCCATGTCCATATCAAAGATCTGAATCTGACGACTAAGCAAACTGTGCCAGTCCGGGAGGTCTGGCGACGGGCCGAAACGCTGACGAAAGAGGTCGTCCAGGCGACGAAAGCAGCGGGGAGTGGAGTGACCGATCTTACCGCAAACGAAGCCGCGGCGAGGACCGGTCTGGATCTGGTACTGACAACGCCCGCCGGCAGAGCCACCACGCGGCACACCACCCCGCGCCCGTCCACTGCCAGCGCCGGGCCACCCTGGTGGGAGAACACTCGTCTGCCGCGTCTGCGACGGCTGCTGCGGCTGCTGCGAAGGCTGCGACTGCGGCGGCTGCTGCGGCTGCTGCAACTGCAGGGGCGGCGACTCAGCTGGACTGGGCAGGGTCCCCTCGTCCGCTCCAGCACCAGGCGACCCGACCCCACCACTACCCCCGCCCGCACCCCCGCCGCCCCCTCCGCCGCGCCCAGCCTTGGGGCGGCGGCCCTTCCCAGAACGGGCCTGCGCTGTAGCAGCAGTCTCAGCCACTGCGGCAGAGCCGTCGGAGAAGGTACACTGAGCGGGGGCACAACCCTGAAAGATAGGGACCGGCACGACACCGCTCGCCTGGGCGATGGAGCGGTGACGGGTCTCTATCACAGTCAGGGTGTCGACAAAGTCAGTGAGGGTGAGGTCTGCGGGGTGAACACTAAGGAAGCGGTCGCGGGAGACAGCAAGGCGGTCAGGGAGGCGGGTGGCAAGCAGGTAGAGGGTAGAGGTAATGGGCGGCTGGTGGGCTCTAAGCTGTGCGTCAGTGCAGGCGGCACGCCAGGTCTCCTCTATCGAGCGCAGGTGGGCAGCGAGGTCAGAGACAGTGGGGAACAAAGCAAGGTCAGGAAAGAGCAGCGGGAGGATCAGGCGACCCACCGAGGCAGCCGGAGGGGTGGAATAGCGCTTGATGACAGCATCTAAGTATGCCTGACCAGTGGTGAGGGACCTAAAGCGAGGACGCTCGGACGGGGGGAGGGCGTTGCTAATGGCAAGCTGGGCGACAGCATCGCGAGAAAGCCAGACAGAGCGCGCACGGGCAGTGGCAGCAGTAGACTCACGCTCAGTGGGTGTGGGGTCAGCGGGCAGAATAGGAGGAGGGTCTGGGCAGGGGAGCGTACCGTCAAGGTGTGCGGAAAGCGGTTCACCATCCTGCCGCTGGCCAGTGAGTTGGCGGCGGAGGTCGGCAAGCCACGCCTCGAACTCTAGGGGCTGACCTTCAGCGTCGAAGCGAAGCTCCGCCGCCATCAGGAACAGTCCAGTGCTGTGCAGGGCGGTGCAGCTAGGTGGGGTGCGGTGCAGTGCGATACAGTGCGGTGCAGTGCGGTGCAGTGCGGTACTGTGCGGTACTGTGCGGTACAGTGCGGTGCAGTGCGGTGCAGTGCGGTACAGTGCGGTGCAGTGCGGTGCAGGGCGGGGCGGAGCAAGGCGGGGTGGGGGGGGGGGGGGGGGGGGGAACCGTACCAGTGAGGAGGACGGGGCCGGGGCTGGCCCGACGGGGCCGGGAGAGCGCGACGGGGCCGGGCTGGTGCGACAGGGCCGGGACGGGGCGACGTGGCCGAGCGGGCGCGACGGGGCCGGGCTGGGGCGACGGGGCCGGGCGAATGCGGCAGGGCCGGGCCGATGCGACGGGGCCGGGCGAGCGGGACGGCGGCCGGGCTGGTGCGACGGGGCCGGGCGGCTGCGACGGGGCCGGGCAGGGTGCGACGGGGCCGGGCGGGTGCGACGGGGCCGGGCGAGCGCAACGGGGCCGGGCAGGGTGCGACGGCGCCGGGCGGGCGCGACGGGGCCGGGCGGCGGCGACGGCGCCGGGCGGGCGCGACGGGGCCGGGCGGCGGCGACGGGGTCGGGCGGGCGCGACGGCGCCGGGCGGGCACGACGGGGCCGGGCGGTGGCGACGGGTACGACGCGGCCCAGGAGGGGCGCTACGGGGCCCAGGAGGGGCACGACGGGGGGCCCAGGAGAGACGCTACGAAGCCCAGGAGGGGCGCGACGAGGCCCAGGAGGGGCGCTACGGGGCCTGGGAGGGGCGCGACGGGGCCTGGGAGGGGCGCGACGGGGCCCAGGAGGGGCGCTACAGGGCCCAAGGAGGGCGCGACGGGGCCCAGGAGGGGCACTACAGGGCCCAGGAGGGGCGCTACGGAGCCCAGGAGGGGCGCGACAGAGCCCAGGAGGGGCGCGACAGAGCCCAGGAGGGGCGCGACGAGGCCTGGGAGGAGCGCGACGGGGCCCAGGAGGGGCGCTAGGGGGCCTGGGAGGAGCGCGACGGGGCCTGGGAGGGGCGCGACGGGGCCTGGGAGGGCGTTACAGGGCCCAGGAGGGGCGCTACGAAGCCCAGGAGGGGCGCGACGAGGCCCAGGAGGGGCGCTACGGGGCCCAGGAGGGGCGCGACGGGGCGCTACGGGACCTGGGAGGAGCGCGACGGGGCCCAGGAGGGGCGCTAGTGGGCCTGGGAGGAGCGCGACGGGGCCTGGGAGGGGCGCGACGGTGCCTGGCAGGGGCGCTACGAAGCCCAGGAGGGGCGCGACGGGGCCTGGCAGGGGGCGCTACGAAGCCCAGGAGGGGCGCGACGAGGCCCAGGAGGGGCGCTACGGGGCCTGGGAGGAGCGCGACGGGGCCCAGGAGGGGCGCTAGGGGGCCTGGGAGGAGCGCGACGGGGCCTGGGAGGAGCGCGACGGGGCCCAGGAGGGGCGCTAGAGAGCATGAGCGGAAGCGGTAGGTGGGGGGGGGGGGGATCCTACCTACGCGTGATACCATATCAGAATAATTGAGTGATTGTAAAGTGAGTGTACACACAAATATATCTAAGTTTTGTATCCTCTAAGAGGTGACTCTATACAGTCTATACAAACATGACAAATACACATGTTTGACATTATTTTGGGTTGCGGAGCAACCTATTGCAATCGATCGGGCTGGTTTTTTTTTTTCAAGTTTGTGAAATAAAAATCAAATGTTTGTTGTGATGGAAATAAAACATTTTATGTATAATAAAGTCTCATCATGAAATGCTCCGCATGTCAAAGGACTAGCTTAGCTAGGAAGCCATAGAATGGCACAAGGTTTAGCTAGGAGCTAGGAGGAGCCATGAGAATGGCGAGAGGTTTTAGGTGCTAGGAAAGTTGAGGAGAAGAAAAGGGGGTTGGATTAGGAAGAGAGGAGTACAAGGAGGGGTTTGTACCCTCTACAGAAAAGGTTCAGTAACAACCTACCAAGCCTATATAAATTATAACTTATATAATTTTAACACACACCCCCTAGGCTTGGTAGTCACACACCCACACCCCCTAACCTAGCACCCCCATTCCAGCCACAATGACAGCGACTCTAGGTCGGTCGACCCCACGGCGCGTGAGGCGGCGACGTCGACCGCAGGGGCTGCGGCGGCGACGGCGGCAGCGGCGGCAGTGTCGGCAGCGGCGGCGGCGGCGGCGTGCGGCTGCGTGGCCCCGACGCAAGCGGCGACAGCGGCGGCGGCGGCGGCTTCGACAACAGCGGCAGCGGCGGCGGCACCCGCACCTCTCGGTGACGTGGCCTGGCCCCGCGACGGTGGGACGGCCGGCGGGAGTCAGCCGTCGTCTGCGGAATGGAAGAGGGCACAGGGGAAGGAGGGGGGGTGGGGGGGGGGGGGGGCGCCACAGGCTGACATGCGGGCGGCCGGTCTAGCGGCGCCACAAGCGTCACGCGGCCGGCTGCAGCCCGACGATGCCGTCATGGAGCGGCGTCGATGCCGCAGCGGGGCGTCGACGCTGCGACGGCAGCACGACGTCGCCGGTACGCCGACTGCGCGCTGTCGCGTAGACGCCGCGGCAGCGTGACGGCGCCGTCACGTCGCGACAGCATCTTGACGCGACGGCGGAGCTGCGGCACCACGGCGCGGCCACAGCAGCTGGACGCGGGCGCCATGGACGTCGACGGCGGCGCCGCGGCACGACGACGCGGCCACAGCAGCTTGACGCGGCCGCCATGGCAGCGCGAGATAGAGAGAGAAACGAGCACGCAGCGGAAACGCGAGGAGCAGGCCCACACGGAACGAACTGCTCTAATACCATGTCAAAGGACTAGCTTAGCTAGGAAGCCATAGAATGGCACAAGGTTTAGCTAGGAGCTAGGAGGAGCCATGAGAATGGCGAGAGGTTTTAGGTGCTAGGAAAGTTGAGGAGAAGAAAAGGGGGTTGGATTAGGAAGAGAGGAGTACAAGGAGGGGTTTGTACCCTCTACAGAAAAGGTTCAGTAACAACCTACCAAGCCTATATAAATTATAACTTATATAATTTTAACACACCGCAACCCTAAGACCATCTCGTAGCCTCTTGTTTTTTTTTTCCCCCCCTTTTTTTCCCCCCGCCTGTAAGTTTAGGCCAATCGTATGCACGAGATATGCGCATTAAAAAGCGTGGATTCGGGCCAAATGTTTTGCGCAAACATCTTCACGCATGTTGGAAAACATTTGACTGCTCGTTGTCCACGTACCAGAACAACTCAGCACGAAAAGTGTAAACGCGTTTCGCCAATCTCAACGAAGTTACGAAGGGGCCAGCCCGGCCAGCACGAAGTTGCGAAGGGGCCAAGGTGTTTTTCGTGCAGGCGAATAGCCGTCGTTAGTTATAAATTCTAACTTCACATGGGTTTCGTGGGGCATTGTAGTCTCCAACCTTTTGTTCCTCCTGGAGACAGACCAAGAGGGCAGAAAAAACGGAGTTTGTGAACAAAGCTACCCTAAGTGTCAAGAAATTAAGAGTTGTCTAGACCCTGAACCTGGATTTTAACAGGCTGGGTTCTGCCGAATCTCTGAATCTGGCCGAATCAATGAGCCTTGAAATTCGGATGCATTCCGTGACAGGTTTTCATGAAACCTGACGGACTAGTCTCGCAGCATGGCGTTCAGCAAGGAGAAAATCCCTCCGCCACTGCGTGGAGAAAAAATCTCCGTCACGAACATCAAGGTTGATTTCGGGTTTGGGACTTAGCTTTCTTTTCAATTGCTCCGTCATCTGCGCCCTAAACATTAGACTAGAAGGCAGAAAATCCCTTCCGCTTAGGCAGAGTTACCGCTCGGAAAACTTGTAAGGATTCCGAGTGAAAACCCCTTGGATTCCGGAAAATTTTGGGTATGATTGGATCATAACTCAGCACCTTCCGAAACTCCCTGGGCCCTAGCGTAAGCCCTGTTCGCAACACGCCTTTTGGATGTTGGAAAAACGCTCTGGAACACGGAAACCGCACAGGTCTCCGCTCAGGACGGCTCGTGCTGATCACATTGTAGAATGTATGCGGAGATTCTGCTCACTGTTGACGACAACCATGCAAGTTTCTTTGATGGTCAAATTATGTGTTATTACTGGAAAATGACACGCAATTTTCCAGACCTAGAAAAGCTAGGCAGTTATTACCCTTGACCATCACATGCCATGTTGCGTCCTGTACACGTATTCTCTCCACCACTGCATAGCAACAGCTCACGCGAAGGAAGAGGCCACATTAGGCAGAGAAACATCACACCGAATCAGCACAGCCTAATGATGCACGATAAACATCGTATGCATGTAAATCCTAAGCATGTACCGCTCCTCTCCTCTCCTCTCACCTTGTGAGCGGCAAGAAGAAACGTTACATCGAGGGGATGTGTGCGCACATAGTGCATTCTGCATGCCTCCACTGTCGAGTGGTGAAAGTACTTCACTGGGTCGGCTACTAGCAGTGTCTGGGTGCACTCGTTGATGTCCCGTTTTATTATGCCCTGGGGGGTGGGGGAGAGGGGGGAGGGAGTATATGTTAATTCCATATGTGCTTAGACGAGTCACCAACTTTGGCCAATGGTTGTCTGCGTTAGGTCAATGAGGTTCGCAAACAACGTTCTAAGAGCGTGTTCCTACACCTCTTATCAGGCACGCCTCACATCAGACGTGTGCGGTACTGTACAGCACAATTTTTACGCGAGCTTGGGTAGTGCGGTTTGGAATGGTGGAACCCGAGTCTGAAAAGAGGTTTTCCATATAAGAGCTTCAAGGAACACGCTCTAAGCCTATATAATGACCCACTCTATCCTACTCACATTAGAAAATACTCGCCTACTCACATGGAAGTGGTGGTGCATGAGGATGTCAGTCGAGAGGTCCTTGCCGCCCGAATTGGGGTCCTGAACCACGTGGTTCTCCACCACTCGCACCTAGGAGAGAAGCGGGTGGGGAGGAGGAAAGGGGGGGGGGGGGGGGGGAGGGGAGAAGGAAGGAGTGGAGGATGAGAAGCTGGTCCATGTGAAGCGGACAGCACTTGGTTCGTGAACCGCGTGGTTCTCCACCACTCGCACCTGGGAGAGAGTGGGGTGGAGGGGGGTGGGAGAGGATAAGAAAAACTGTGAGGTGGTTACAGGGGGGTGTGCGCAGAGAATAGAACATGCTACTCCCTCAAGGGTCTGTAACCACGTGGTTCTCCACCACTCGCCCTGCGATAGAAATGGGAGGGAAGAAAGGGAGGGGCGGAGGGGGTGGGGGGGCGGGGAAGGGAAGAAGAGGTGAGGGGGATGAGAAGGCGGTTTATGTGAAGAGGTGCCCACCTTAGGTTAGCGCACCTTCCTTGGATGGACTCGACAACCAGCTCGAGGTGCCCATGGTAGTCGAGACACACCTTCGGATCCGTGGCATAAGCAAGCGCATCTGATGACTTGTTGGGTTGACAAACAGCTTGCGGTGCTTGTAGCAGTCAAGGCACATCGTGGGGTCTGTGGTAAGGACGCACTCGCCTTAAGACGTCACAGCACATGGTATGGTATCAAACCTTCCACGGATCGACTAACAGCTTGCGGTGCCCATCATATTCCAGGCACATCTTGGGGTCCATTGTATGGGACATACTCGTTTGAAGGCATCTCAGCACATGGTATAATACCCTCCTTACCTTCCTTGGATCGACAAACAGCTTGCGGTGCCCATAGTAGTCGAGGCACATCTTGGGGTCCGTGCTGTTGTCCTTCCCCTGGCAGTAGACAACTGGCCAGTGCCACAGCATGCGCTCCAGTGGCCAGCGGGGGTCTGAAGTATGGGCGCACACACAGGCAGGAGACAAGGAGAGAAACAGCTTGCGGTGGCCATAGTAGTCGAGACACATCTAGGGATCTGAGGTGTTGTCCTTTCCCTGGCAGTAAACAACAACCGGCCAGTGCCACAGCATGCGCTCCAGACCACTGGCCATCCGGGGTCTGCAATATGCCGGGGAAAGAAGATGGCATGAGGCAAGGAGGCAGTTACTGATTTTGCAGGGTGTTTTTGAGAATTCTCAAAAACACCCGGCAGTAAGTCTCCAGAGAGAGGCTGAATCAGAGGCTGATAAGGAGCGGTAGAAGGAGTGCATGGTGTGGCAAACGGGATGCATTTTGAGTCGACTCAAAATATTTTGAGTCGACTCAAAATACATATGGAGCAGCAGAAGGAGTGCATGGTTAAAGGGATGCAAACTGCCTTCAAACGGCAGGCAGTGCTTGTGGTCCCACCAGACGCTCCCATGGCTGACATAGGGCATGCCCTCGTAGAGAGGTGTGAGTCCCCCTGAATCAGCTACCGTTGCAGCATGAGAAACATAAGATATATAGGAAGCATACCTTGAGGTCCTTCAGAGGGCAGGCAGTGCTCGTGGTCCCACCAGACGCTCCCATGGCTGACATAGGGCATGCCCTCATAGGGCATGAGGAAGTGATGCACGCTCAGAGGGGTGGGCATGCGCTCCTGGGGGAACAGTAAAAAGGAGAAGGAATAGCGGGTGGGGGGGGGGGGGAGTAGGTTGGGGTGCAGGGGCATGAGGAAGTGATGCACGCTCAGTGGGGTGGGCATGCGCTCCTGGAGTGTGGAGGCATAGCAAGGGAGGCATGTGAGGCGAAGGGATTGATGGAGGAAAGAGAGACCTCCCTAGGGCATGCGGAAGTGATGCACGCTCAAAGGGGTGGGTGTGCTATGCGCTCTTTGAGTGTAAGGTGCACGTAAGTTGCGGAGCCAGGGAAGGGCAAGGACGAATTATAGGGATTGTAATCGGAAAAAGTGGAGGAAAAAAGGGGATGATAGGGGGATTATACAGGGTAAGGTAAACAGCGGAAATGTGCGCACATACCTGCCCATTAATAAACATGTACTCGTCGTAGTCAAGGAACATGAGCCACTTGGAGAGGCAGCGGAATCGATACACACAGTCATTGAGTATCATGACCTGACAGGTTGGAGAATCGAAGGGAGGAGTGTGTAATGAGTCGATTTTTTAGTCGACTCAAAAATCGACTCATTACACACGGATTACACAGAGTCATTGAGTATCAGGACCTGACAGGTTGGAGAATCGAAGGGAGGAGGAGGAAACTTTGAGCAACAGGAACAACCACCCACTTGGAGAGGTAGCGAATTGAGTAGTCTGTACAGGAACTGGCACCATTGTATGCCTCACCTGCCCATGGTACCATGACTCATAGTTCACCACATCACGGAAATTTGTGGTCTCCGTGATCCCTCCATCTACGAGCGGCTGTAAGAGCGGGGAAAGAAGAGTGGTTATGGCGGGGAAAGGAGGGACGACTGATTTTGAAGCAGGGGAAACACAGCATAAGTTCACTAAGGCACGAGCTCAAAAGTTCGTAGGTTCATAGCAGTGAAGAGAAATAGCTGCCGAGACAAAACTAAAGAACCATGTCAAAAACCATGGGAGAGGGGGAAGGTGAGCAGCAGGAAGCATATTTTTGAGGCGCCTGAAAAGGAGCATGAGCGATGGAGAGCCTGAATGAATCCTCGTTTGAGGCGTCTCAAAACGTGAGCGCCAAGGTGCCTATCTTAATCAAGTTTTGAGGCGCCTCAAAACTAGACTCCGATCACGCTAGAGTCTGAATGAAGTCAAGCTTTCGAGACGTCTCAAAACGTGGGCCTGAAGGTGCTCACCTGAATCAAAGTCCGCAGGTGGTCGTCCACCCCGCCCACATCGTACATGGCATAGTGGTCCACACCCATCCGTATGTGCACATCCATCCATTGGTAGATGCGCTCCGCGTTCACCTGCAGCCATGCCCCCATGCCTCATGCCCCATGCCCCATGCCCCATGCCCCATGCCCCATGCCCCATGCCACATGCCCCATGCCCCATGCCCCATGCCACATGCGCAACACATGTCATGTCACATAAACTGTTCCCCATGCCCTGTTAGTGTAAAGACAAGGGCAGCTTAGGCAAAGCGTTGAGGGGAAATTGTTGAGAAGGCATGTCTGGTGGCATATGGGGAAGGGAGGTGATGAGTGAGTGGGGGAAGAGCAGTGAACATACCTGGCCTGGCCATGAATGGGGGGGAGCAGTGGCCCAGTGCATGACGTTATAGAGGAAGGGAGGATGGGCCACAACAGCAGGAAGGTGCATGGGGGGAAACACACCTGAATCCTGTCCTCATGGTTTATATGGTGGTGGGGAAGTGTAGCATACCTGACCGTGAATGGGCGGGGAGCAGTGCGTGACGTTGTAGAGGAAGGGAGGATGGGCCACGGCACTGACCACCTCCCCAACCTGCTCCTCATACACCACCACGTCCTCGCCCTCTATGCTCATGTGCAGCCTGCCTCCATCTGCCATGTATGCCTCCCTGCCACGTATTGCATGGTTTGGGTTGGGACATGGCCCATGGGTCAGAATCATACTTCTTATTGGCTATATATGCCTCCCTGCCAAGAGGCACAACAGAAGGCATGGGGACATGTGGATAAACAGGCACACTACTGACCGAATGCTCCTCATACACCACCACATGCTCGCCCTCTATGCTCATCTGCAATGTCCCTCCATCTCCCAAATATGCCTCTCTGTGCATGCACCACACAAGGCATGGGACACGGATAATGGGACACACTATTGACTAGCTGCTGCTCTTAACACCCCACCCACCACCACGTCCTCCCCGTTTACGCCCATGTGTTCCTCCCACTGTCTTATTACCTGCACATCAGGATCCAATGAGCAAACTCTACTCACTCCTCTCACACTCTCCTCACTCTTCTTCTCACTCCTCTCACAACCTCCTCACTCTTCTTCTCACTCCTCTCACACTCTCCTCGCTCACCTCTTGAGCGTGCACAGCAGAACCAGCCCGGCATATTTCAGCGAATGGTGTTCCCCCACGTGTAGCGCCTCCACCTTGCCATGTACCCACCCCCTCTCATCCACCTCCACCTCTTTCAAACTCCTCTCCCCTCTTCTCTCCTCCTCCCACCTCTCCTCCCCCCTCCTCTCCGCCCCCCCCCTCTCCTCCGTCCTCAGCACTTTTCTCCTCTCATAATCCCTCGTTCCACCTCTGTGCCTCACATAATTCGTCGCCCCTCCTCTATGTCTCTGCTCCCTTCCTCCTCCCACACTATCCTTAACCATCACCCTCCTCCTCCCACTGTTTCTCCCACCCTCTGACGCGGCACCTCTGCTTTCCTCTCTTCTTATTTCCTCACCCCTCTCCAACTCTCCCAGCCCCCGCCCCTCTGGTTTCTCCGTCTCCCACATGCATTCGCCGACCTGCCAAAGATCGCAACACACCGCACGCACAAGATTGTAGCAGCAGACTGCGCGCTAACACATGGCTTACTATGAGACGCTATGCATTGCAACAAAGTGTCACGCACACTAGAAAGAAGTACAGTGCAATGCAAAATACTGCATCCTATGAGAACGCTCCATGGTCATCTTGCTCCTCCCTGCTTTCGCCTTTCTCTCATTTCTGGCTATGAGCAGCCAGCCCAACAACAGCAACCTGGTTGGGGGGTTTCACTCGCTTTGATCAGTACCATACTCCTCCCAGTCCTCCCCCCACCCTCACCTTTCTCTCTTTGTCCAGAGCACGAGCAGCCAGCCCCACGACCGCAAACTGGTTGGCAGCAATTCGATACGCGGAGAACTGAGCGAAGGACACCAGCCCCACATGCCGGAACGCATGCTACTGCCACCTGGCCGGGTGAAAGAGAGAGATTCTTCGTGTCCCACGATCATGCTCTTTGGCAAGACGACTGCCTGGCAAGGGCCCTCCTCTCCCCACCTTGTGCATTCCTTAACACCAATCTTACCCATCCCTCCCTCACCTTTCTCTCTTTGTCCAGGGCGCGAGCCGCCAGCCCCACGACAGCAAACTGGTTGGCGGCGATTCGATATGCGGAGAACTGAGCGAAGGACACGAGCCCCACGTGCCTGAACGCATGCTGCTGCCACCTGGCCGTGCTGCTGCTATCATCGCTGCTGCTGCTGCTGCTATCACTGCCGTCACTGCTGCTGCTGCTAGCACCTGCTGCTGTTGTATCCACTCCTCGTGATGGTGGTAGTGAGCCTGGGAGCGTCACAGGCTGACGAGGTCAGGGGCAACAGGTGGGAATAAAGGTGACTGTAAAGAATGGTTGGTGTGAGTGACTTTTGAGGCGAATCAAGAATCACCTAAAGATGTAATGAATATGAAGAGCAGGTGGTAGGCGGCGAAAAGCGATGAGGGGGAGGGAGGAAGGGAATGCACATGCAGGTTGCAGCACAAGCGGGAATACACGTATAATAAATAGCAGTGACACGAGCAGAGCATGGTATAGGGTTTCAGCTGAATGCTTACAGCTGGCACACGGATAAGCGCCTGCTCGTCGCCGGCTTGGAAGAGTGAGAAGATGTCAAACCAGAGAACGAGCACCTGGGGCGAGAGCGAGAGTGGGAGGGAAGGGGATAAGATGGGTCAGTTGTCTGAAGAAGTCACGCGAAAGATTGAGCTGAGAGGCAGCTGAACCAGACAACAAAGCATGCCTGAAGGAAGCATAACGGTAACAGAAAGATAAAGTGCCAGAAACGTATTCCAGTTTAAACACATTATTCAGGCACGACCGACCACATACCAGCAAGAGACACGCGCCCAGGATGATGAAAGGTGCCGAGCCCTTCGGCAGCTGGGGGGATAAATGGGAATCGGAAGAGGAAAGCAAAGGAACTCCTTGGTTTGACATTTGGCAGCTTAAAACGTAATAGGGAAGGAAGAAAATGGAAACCAAGATGACTGGCGAAATAGTCATGTGGCTCTCTTATGTTATGGATCGCAAGACATGACAAGGGGCGACTAGGCTCTCGATTCATGGCTAAATGCTCATGTGGACTGTTAAGGTCTTAGTGCATGGCGAAGAACATTTAAGAACATCTCTAAAAATGGGAAAGAACACATTCAATAAGGATCAAGATCACAAATGATATGACGGTGGTAAGGGAGAGGGACGGCACCTCACGGCGTCGGATGAGGGAATGCCATCTCTCGATGATGGGTGCTGATGCTGCTGACGTCAGCATCCCATGCCATCCGTCAGCTGCTGACGGTGATGCCTGAGTCATCAACGCATGCCACTCCATGGATGAGAATTCTGAAGTCAGTGGCAGCTGATGCTGCTGCTTCTGCTGCTGCTGCTGCTGCTGCTGCTGCTGCTGCTGCTGCTGCTGCTGAAGAAGCAGCACCCGCTCATCCTGGCATTGGCCGTTATCATGATGGTTAGGGTTACCATCAAGGTGGTTAACATTACCCTCAAGCTCGTTAAGGTTACCATCAAGGTCGTTACAGTTGTGCTCATGCTGATGCTCTTGACGGCTATGGTGATCCGTGAGTCCTGATCCCTCCCCATCAGATGGGGTTATTGATGCTCCTTTCCCGCTTCTGGTCCTTCCTCTGCACTCGTCCCTCCTGTCCTTCGCATTGCTCTTCCCTTTCTCTCTTCCCCTTCCCTTCTTCCTCTCCTGTCGTTCTCCCTCACCCCCCCTCTCACGACTCTTTTCCCTCTCCACCTCTTTTCCTGTCATTAGTAGCTCGTTTTCTCCTCAAGAAGAGGAGATTAACTCGATTGGGAGCTTATACGGTGAATAAACTCGAGAATCTCCAAATTCGAGCTATTGAGCATTAATCGATTTCGTCAAGTGTAACACTTGAGATGCTAGCGGCTAGCAGTCTGACCGGTTCCAGCAGCGTAAGACTCTTACGACAGCACTGAGAGCCACTCATAATCTGACACCACACCGCATTTCGAGGTCGTCTAACGAAATTAGGTCACATGCTGTCGCTCTCATGAAATCGGGTCATAGAATGTCGTAAAATAAGGTCAACGTCAGTCGATCTCATATATATATGCCAGAGGCTGTCATGAGATGGCACATTCTGTCGCACTCACGAAATCAGACCATAGTCTGTCGCTCGCTCTCATATACTTATCGCCTCGTAGCGTCGCTCGTAGCAGGAGGAGCGACTACGATGAAATGTACGCGTTTCGAGGCGCCTCAGAACGCGAAAGAGATGTACATAAGGCGGATCACAAAGTAGAAGAACGAGAACTGATTTCTGAAAATGGAGCCGGAAGACTGAGCTCTGGGAGTGGACTGTCAGTCACGGAATCGACTGTCAGTCAGTCTGTCAGAAAATGAATTGTCGGTCGGGGAATGGGACTGCCAGTCGGGAAATGAGACTGTCCGTCAGAATAAGGTGCGTCGGTCAGGACAGACTGTTACCCACAAAATGGACTGTCAGTCAGTGGATTGTCCAAAGCTTGCGTAAAGTCGTGTTGTTGAAAAGAGTTATAAATCCGAGTGAGCATAACTCCATTCCTCGGGATGTTCGTGCAGTCAATGTCAAGAGGGACGCGGAGACTCATCAAGAAGTCCACTATTACAGTAGCTGGAGGCCCTGGGAGAGCCACTGACGGTCACTCGTCCGCTTCACTGCTTGAAACTCTCTGAAGCGAACAAGAAGCTACTGTGCTGTAACCAGCAAAGGACGATTGTCCTTGCACGCAGTGGAGCGAGCGGCAGCACGCGTTTTTGCGAGGCGATATCACAGCCGCAAACGAAGATAGGGTATTGCTGACCTGGCATCAGTCGGCAGGTGGACTTCCTGCCGACTCGTGCCAGAACGGCAGGTTGTAACTATTGAAGAGAGCCGGCAGTTGCGTGTGTTAGTTGCTCAGAACCGTTTCTAAACAACAAAAACCGCACTAAAACGCGAGGCTTGTCAGCGTGAAAGTTTATTCGCTATGAAAGTATCCATGCTCAAGACTACTACGCTACTCAAAATTCTTTTCCCTTCCAGACTATGTATGTATGCATCTACTTTTCCTGTGTCAGAAACAATTATTCTCAATGCAAGGAAGCGTTTAAAATATATCAACAGCTCCAATATAAACTTATAGATTCCCTGTAAAAATATTTCGCCATAATGTGTCTCTAAAATTGATTTGCCCAATTATACCGGTAGACCAACAAGTTGGAAGTACAGACCTAATGCTGCCAACATTGACAGCTCAGTGTTCTCGGTCATCCAAAAATTGCATTATGGTAGTAAAAACGGCTCTTTGTCATGCGCTTGCGATTGGGGGCTGTTTGAAAGAAATAGTGCACTGCTGTCTTTTTTCTACAGCTATACCGTGACAGTAATGCATCTCTCTCTAACGCAACGTAGTACTGTATCTACCTTTCCTTGTATCTTCCCGTTCCTTACGTCAGAGTTGTGTCAGAGGCGACGTGGCTCCTTGGACAGTACTGTAATAGGACTACAGTACTTGTGAAACTTCTTCTCGGTTGTGCTGGTTTCGGTCTCTTCTGAGTAGCCTTTTTATTACCCAATACTTTACCTCAGACTACAGGTCTGTTACGCGTAAACAGTCGCGCTAAGTCGCAGCAGACTATCGCAGGCCGTTCGCTAGCTTCTCCAGCCGTTCCGCCACCTTTTCGCCCTTTTCTGCCAGTTCGCGTCGCCGCTAGCCGCTAGCGATCCACCAGGGTTCTTAGTCTCAGCGCGGTTCCCATTTCCTCTCGTCGCCCGCCTTTCCGCCTTTTCCGCGATTCGCCGCCATGCAGCAGCTGAGATCGCGCGCCGCCGCACTCACCGAGAGGCACGCGTTTCACCCTCGGTGAGAATCTCGTTGAGAATCTCGGCGGTAACCGAGGGGGCATGCTGTCAACTCGTTTCCCACCTCGGTCACCGCCGGTGCGATTCGCCGGTGCCCTCTAATCGTCTCCTCTAATCGTCTCCTCTAATCGTCTCCTCTAATCGTCTCCTCTAATCGTCTTTTCTAATCGTCTCCTCTAATCGTCTCCTATAATCGGCGTCTCCTCTTCTCTCTCATCCCCTTTCTCTTTTCCCAGCCTCTCTCCTCTGCTCTCCCGCACTTTCCACGCAGCTTCCTACCATGCGTCTGTCCACGTCTTCCCGTGTATGGCGGAGGAGCGTGAGGGCCAGGGAGGAGGCTCGGCAGTTGCAGGCTCGGCACCAACACCAGCAGGTTCGGCAGCAGCAGTAGCGGGAGGAGGAGCGGCAGCATCAGCAGCAGGAACAGCAACAGCTGAGGCCGTCAGGCAGAATCTAAACAGGCAAGGATCTCGATGGAACTAGTTTTGAGGCGCCTAGATTTGAGGCGCCTAGTTTTGAGGCGCCTAGCTTTGAGGCGCCTAGCTTTGAGGCGCCTAGCTTTGAGGCGCCTAGCTTTGAGGCGCCTAGCTTTGAGGCGCCTAGCTTTGAGGCGCCTAGCTTTGAGGCGCCTAGCTTTGAGGCGCCTAGCTTTGAGGCGCCTAGCTTTGAGGCGCCTAGCTTTGAGGCGCCTAGCTTTGAGGCGCCTAGCTTTGAGGCGCCTAGCTTTGAGGCGCCTAGCTTTGAGGCGCCTAGCTTTGAGGCGCCTAGCTTTGAGGCGCCTAGCTTTGAGGCGCCTAGCTTTGAGGCGCCTAGCTTTGAGGCGCCTAGCTTTGAGGCGCCTAGCTTTGAGGCGCCTAGCTTTGAGGCGCCTAGCTTTGAGGCGCCTAGCTTTGAGGCGCCTAGTTTTGAGGCGCCTAGTTTTTATGCGCCTAGCCTTGGAGGCGCCTAGCTTGGAGGCGCCTAGTTTTGAGGCGCCTAGTTTTGAGGTGCCTAGTTTTGAAGCGCCTTGTTTTGAGGCGCCTAGTTTTGAAGCGCCCGGTTTTGAGGCACCTCAAAACTTGATCAGCAGCAGGAACAGCAACAGCTGAGGCCGCCAGGCAGAATCGAATGAACGGGCAAGAACGCAACAGGCAACAGGCAAGGGTCTCGATGGGCCTTAATGAAGCAAGAGAAGAAGGGCTCGTTCCTTTTCGCAACCTCTTGTCGTCAAGTTAGAGTCATGCTTGAGTCGACTCAAAGGCTGAGTGAGTTTTTTTATAATTCTAAAAAAAACTCTCCCAGTCGACTCAAAAGTCAGATCGTTCGAAAATTGGGCTGCTGGAAATCAATTAACCGCGTCCTCCTGACCCAACGCGATTCCGTTTTCTTGTTGAGTCTCCTTAATCTCTCCCCGGCACAAATTTTTCCAGGCTTCTGAGAAAAATGGCTGCGGGAAACAAGTGAGCGCGTCCTGCTTCTCATTTATCCCATTCCGCTCGTTCTCGTCTACGTCTCCTTTATTCCGCCGACACCGCTCTCCCCATACTCACAGGCTGAGGTATCGCAGCAGGCAGAGGGGCTATCTGGAGCTGGACCTGCTGCTGGGCAAGTGGGTGGACGAGCATCTCCCTTCCCTAGATGACCCCCAATTGAGGGCTCTCGCACGGCTCATGGACGAGGTAAGTGGTTTTCTCACCGCAGCAGGCAGAGGGTTTCCTGGGGCTGGATCTGCTGCTGGGCAAGTGAATGAGCCCCCCAAGTGAGGGCTCTCGCACGGCTCATGGACGAGGTAAGAGTGGGTGTGTACGAGACAGGAGGAAAAACCGTTCTTCGGGTTGTGTTCTTCTGGAATGCCCCCCTTCTGTCTTTTCCCACCTGATTGCACAAACCTGATTCTCCTTACCTGTCTGACCGTACCTGGTATGCCTTTGCACCCACTGCTGCATACCTATCCCCCTCCTCGGCCACATCCAGAAGAGTCCCGATCTCTTCAAGTGGTTCGGGCCAGCAGCAAGCAAGCCCGCCAGCATGCTCACCCTTCTTGCTCGTGGCACATCACATGCCCCCTCGATGCTCCATATACCCATGTCCTCGTATCTGCCGCAACCAGAAGAGCCCAGATCTCTTAAGTGGTTCCCGGGGCAGCAGCATTCTTGACCTCTTTGACTTCACTAATCCCCTCCAACTTCTCTGCATACCGACCCCCCGTTCCTGCCGCAACCAGGAGAGTCCGGATCTCTTCAAGTGGTTCACAGGCCAGGAGCAAGCCCCACAGCACGTTGTTGAGAACCCGGTAAGCAAGTTGGCCAGATCTCCTTCCCCCTTGGGTTATATTTCGAGACTTACTTCCACGTCTCACCTTGGGATCACAGGACTTACTTCCACGTCTCACCTTGGTTCTATCACTGGACTTACTTCGGCGCCTTTGCTTTCCTGCTTTCTCAAAAGCGCATGCATGTTCTTCTCCTTGTTCTTTTTGGTAGCTCTCAACACTTGATGTTTTCTTCTTTCCTCAGGAAGCTACATCTGATAAATCCAGCAGTCAAGTCACGTGACTCCCCCCTCTCTGTCCACCACTCTATCGCCCTCCCTTCTCCCAGGTGTACCACTCTATCCGCGCCAAGGTGGACACGAAGCTTCATCTGATCAACCCAGCAGTCAAGGCCACGCCGGGCATGCCGTGGGTGAGGTGGTGGAGGACGTGCAGAGGCAACCGGGCACACCCCCTGCAGGGAACCAGTAGGGATGTAGAAATGACCGTCTCAAACTTGAAGCTGCTTGCAGAAAGTGTGCATCTGATGAATCCTGCGATCAAGGCACTGCAAGGCATGTCATGGGTGAGGGGATGGGAGAACATGCATGTACCTCTCCCACAGGGAAGCATTAGGGATAGTGGAGAACGGGGTCCTTTTTTGGACCCTGGAGGTTGGTTGGTGCACTCCTGGGCGGACGAACCTTAGGTCTCTCAGCTATCGTGAGCAGTTTGCCTTCCTGTGCAGGGTTTCAGCTAGGATTTTAGGCCGTCTGACGTTCAGACGGGGTTTCAAACTTTCGTCTGACCATCATACGAATCTTTTTTGCCGGTCTGGCATTTCAGACGAAACATTTGGCACGATCTGACAATTCAGACGAAACGTTGCGGGAGTTTTAGTATATAACAATGCCGAATGTGCTACATTATAGTGCTACACAAACAACTGTTACACGTCGTCAGCATCCATTGAAATTGCATCTACCGTATATGCTAAGAATAGCTGGAAAAAACTCTAGTGCTACTGATGCTCCACTACCACAACCTACATTAGGAATTAGCCTTATACTAAACCATGCTGTGCCATACCATCATCTGCCTACTCGGAGTCTGAACTATCACTTCCGACCTCCTCGATGTCATCATCATCACTGTCACTCTCTGAGACTTGCACCTTCTTGCCCTTGCTTTTCCTCCTCCAGATTGGGCCAGCCGCACCATCCTCTTCAAACACTCTGGCTGCTTCTGCTGCTGCTAGCGCTTCTGCCTGCCTGGCTGCTTCTGCTGCTGCCTTGGCTGCTGCCTTTGCCGCCTTCAATGCCGCCGACGTCTTGGGCCGCTTCACCTGCCGTGCGGTCTGATCCATGACAACTTCCTTGGCAGGTCGCCGCTTCTTCGTTCCACGCCAGCTAGCCACCATACTCCCCCAGTCCATCGGGTAGTCGAGCAGCGACACCGTCATCAAGTGGCCTAGCTTCGCATCACCGAGATTGCCGCGCTGCCAGCTTTTGATGACGTTCTGGCGGCTGAACCCGCGCTCACACTCCACTGTGCTGAGCGGCAGCACGGCGCAGGCAATCCAGATGAGAACCAAATTCGGGTAGGCAGTCATCCAGTCCGGCGTGGAGAGCACGTTCTTCAGCGCATCGTGGAAGCCCAGCTCGTCGTTGTGTGTCGACATAATGGTGGTGAAACTGATGAGCTCGGCCTTCGCCTTGCCCCAGTGGACACCTGAAGGGGGGGTGAAATAGAGGCACAGAAGCCTTCGTTAAA